TTTTAAACATCAGCCTGTCTCTCCTTCTCATACCACTAGCATCAGTGAGACCGAGCACGCTAACAACTCTTTACACACTTTCCGTAGAGTGATTCCGATAGTCTTATTCCTCCCTTCCCTCTCACCCTCGACGGAAGATGCTAAAATGCTTCAATCTTGCCCCTTTTGGTAGCACGCCAATCTCCAACATTTGCCAGACTTCAAAAAAATAATGAGTGCCTTTTTTTTTTTTGGTCTAAGCACAAGTTTATTTCATATTTCATTCGGCTAGGTGTTCCTCAGCAGCTTGCTCGCCCCACTGGTTGTTTACTCTTGGACCTACTGATGCAGACTGGCATTAACCTGGGAGGTACGGTCTCGGCTCTATCATTTAGAGGATGGCGTTTAAGTCATCTTCTCTTTCCTATCTGGGGTGCCTTCCCGCTAAGGTAAGAGGCAATACTCGCACTGAAGAGAAACAGCTGGGCGTGCACTGGATTTGAATAAGGTAACTAAGGCTTATTTGAGTTGTTAAATGAACGGGTGGCTGAAAATTGCAAGGGTGTGATTGCTACTAAATGACAGTACGCTTGGGGCAGCTGGTTTAGTCACTGAAAACCAGCCGGTTTTAATGGGTAAGCTGCCTTCCCCAGCATAAGCAGTGGTCAGTGGACTAAAGCCCTACAACCAAGAAGGGGCAAGACAGAACTGCTATGACCCCCTGCACCGGCACAACTTTACATGGTATTATATTGCTATCGTATAATACATTCCTGGCATATTTGCTGCTGCTGAAGTATAAACCAGCAACAAGGAGCCGCTGTGATTCTTCTAAGGCTGGGAATAAAAAATTAATAATGTTTGATCCCATAGACGCTCAGCCATTAAAAAGAGAACTACTGGAGCACACGAAAAAACACTATAATCTTAAGCCCTTTTTATGTCAAAAACTTTTCAAGAAAGGCATTGGGAAAAATTTAGCCCAAGTGGGGAATATACCACTGTGGTAAAAATATTTATTTCGCTGTAAACAAGAAAAGAAACAGCCACGTGATGTTTCACAATCACAGCAAGCCTTCTGTCAGGCGCCGCTAAACGCAACCCGGGTAAGCGCAGTGGCTCGCCATCTGAAATCACAGGGGTGCAAAAGACAGCCGGGAGCTGCATCCCATTATGCAGCTCAGCAAAATCTCTCCAGCGCAGAGAACACCAGTGTTGCTGACTGCTGTGCTCAGCCTGCCTCCTCAGCCTCATTCGCCCGAGTACACCGACTGCAGAGTCCCTCTCCTGCCAGATTTGCCCCATCTTCAAAAAAACAATCAGAAACTTTTACCGATTCTGGTCTTTCACATCATGTATTTTCTTGAGAAGAATTAAGGACAATGGATTTGTGTTGCGATTGTGTTATTAAGATATCCCTCAAATCAGGCAAATCCTCAAATCCTGAGAGAAATTTATTTTAAAAAATCTTTTAAAAATAGTGTCATATAAGAACCTCAGAAATGAAGTGATCTGTCTATAGTCTCTATAATTTTTCCAAGATTTATCTGGTTGTCAGCAAAACATCCCAGTTCCCCTTTTACTTTCCGCCTTCTTTATATCATTATGTTGAGTAATTCTTTCCCATTATACTATTTCACTCCATTCACAACATTTTCCCTGGAAAAGAGACAGTTGTTAGACACCTTACGAAGGAAAAATGATTATGTTAAAATACCCCTGGGAAATGAAAAGCATAAGCAAGGAGGTGGTAAATGTTTTAGCTAAATTAAAACATATTCTACTCTTTCTGTTCGGGGTATTGATTGCAAGAAGGTTTTTAATGGAGAAATTCTCCACGCGTGTTGTCTACTCTTTCTGTTCGGGGTATCGATTGCAAGGTTTTTAATGGAGAAATTCTCCACGCGTGTTGGAATATCCTTCCAAATCCAAGCTGCAAAACAGGTAACACATCCAGCCTACCTACAATATCCAAGGCAAACAGAAGTGGCTGCCTCCCTGTTCGGAGGCAGGGGAGCTGCACCGTGCCCTTCTACAGCAGCACAAAGAGAAGGGCACAAGCTCCCAGGCAGTGTGACAGCAAAACTAAAGCCGCAGCATGACTTCTAGGGCACCACACAAATAAAATCAGTTGACAGGGTAGGAGATGTGGCCGCAGAGGGACTTCACACGAAAAGGCAGAATGCTGCCGTGCAACTTGGGCGTAGACAGACGCTTGTGGAAACTGCACAAAGACTGAAGTGGTGTAAAACATCAGAAAGTTATCCATACCCTCTGCCCAGTCACAATCATACTAATCAATTCTCCTGCTAATTAAGCATTTTTCACTTTGTTTCCACTATATTTCTATAAATATACACTACCAACTCTCTCCTTTCTCTCTGCTGAGTACTTGATAAGGTCACAAGTACCTCCACTGAGACCAAATATTTCTATATATAGAAATAATTGCCTGTGGAATTAAGTGCACTTGCCTGGGTATCTAGTTCATACTAAACTTAATTTAGCTGATTTTCCTCATCTATTATAGCCATTATTAGGGCCAGTGTATGCTGCCAGCTGCAGCATCGCCTATCAAAGACGGAAACTAATTATCTAATTACGCGGCAAGGATGAATTCCTCTGCGAGAACATTCACAACCATCAGACAATCACGTAAACTATCACGAGGAAGAACCGGTTCCTCCAGACGGCCATGTTACACACTTCTTTTTTAAAGGAGGTAAAAGAAAGGTAGTGTATTCTAGGAATATCGGTTCTCATTAACCATTTCAAATACATCCCATACAAACGAAAGCAAATGCTTGAACAGGCCCTGGCTCAGGCAAAGTGTGGTAGATAATATGAGCTGATTATGACTATGTGAAATAAAATAAAGACTTTAGGGAAATGAAGTTGAGTTTCTGGACATGCCGTCTCCTAGGCCTCTGCACCCCAAAACAGGATTCAGTGAGAGGAACCACCAGTAGTGGAAGAGGATCAAGTCATGGAGCTCTTCAGAAATCTCAACCCATACAAGCCTGAGGATGCAGAGGGAGCAAGCCAATGTCACTGCAAGGCCATTCTTTATCATCCCTATAATTTGTGAAAGATTGTGGACAATGAGGGAGGTGCCCTATGACTGAAGAAATGTCCTTTTTGAAGACAGCTATAACAATAACAAGCCATGGATCTACAGAATGGTTAGCCTCACTCTGCTTCCTGGGAAAAGCATGGAGTGAATACTCTCAGAAGCTGCTTCTGAGCACATGAAGGTGAAGAAGGTGACCAGGACAAGTCAGCATGGACTTACCAAGGGTAAACAATGTCCAGCCAACCTGGCTGCCCTAAATGATAGTATCACTGGATCTGTGATTGAGAGAGAGCATTGGATGTTGTCTGCCTTGACTTTAGCAAGGCTTTTGATACTTTCTCCTATGGTATCCTGGCATATCCAAGTTGGGATGTCATAGTCTAGATAGGCAGACTGTTAGCTGTGTGAAAAGTTGGCTGGATCACCAGACTTAAAAGGCCAGTGGGTTAACAGTATGTATCTACCTGTAGGCCAGTTACAAGCGGAGTACCTTGCTTAATACCTTTTATCAGTGGCCTGAAGGAGGACAAAATATGCACCCACCTCAACCCTCAGATGATACCCAACTCAGAGGTGCATTTGATACCCTTGAGGGTAGGGCTGCTGTCCAGAGGGCCTTAGGCTAGAGGGAGGAATGAGCCAACAGGAGCCTTATGTGGTTCAGAAAGGACAAACACCAAGTCATGCTTGTGGAAAGAAAGAGCCCCTGGCTATGAGACGGGCTGGGGACTGGCTGCCTGGGAAGCAGCTCTGCCAAAAAGGACCTGAGGGCAGCAAGCTGAGCATGAGCCAGCAGTGCGCCCTGGCAGAAAGATGGCCAACAGCATCCTAAGTCATACCAGCAAGAGCCAAGCCAGTAGATCAGATGAAGTGGTTATCCCATTCTAGATACAGTCTAACACAAACTGGGTAATGCAGGTCTAACACAAGCTGGGTAACGTATCCAGTTTTGGGCCCCACAATACAAGAAAAATGTTGACAAACATGGTGCAAGTTCAGAGGAGGGCCACCAAGACAGTCAGGGGTCTGGAGCACTTGCCCTGGGAGGAGGGGCTGAGGAAATGGGGCCTGTTCCGCCTGGAAATGAGATGGCTTTGGGGATCACAAAGCTGCTTGTCAGTACTATGGGGAGGGCTGCCAAGATGACAGAACCAGGCTCTTTACTGAGGTGCATCCAGGACAATGTGCAATGGAGGCCATGAATTGAATCAGGAGAGGTTCTGAACTTCATACCCTGTGGGGTGATGCCACTGTGGAGACTATTTAAACACTGGACTCAGATTCCCAGAAAGGTTGTAGAACCTCTACTCTCTGGCCCAGCCAGCCAATGGCCTGAGCAACCTGGTCTGCTGTATTCACTATCAAGTCTGCTTGGAGCAGGAAGTTGGACTGAAGGTCTCCTGAGGTCCTTTCCAGCCCGCAAGATCCTTCCCACTTGCAGTCAGAGACCAAAACTGGAACCTCTAGAAGGCAAACTGAACAAGACATTTTTTCTTCTTCTCAGAAGGAATGTCAGTCTCATCTTCTTTAAAAGACCTTGAAAGAATTTTTTTTTAAATGGATTCTACCGCAATAACTATTTTCTACTTATCATAGCCCTCCAGGCGCATTTCTCAACATTTAAGTTTTTATTAACGTGATGATAAGATCAACAGTATCGCCTATACAGTAGGCTTGGTCTGAAACAGAAGATGTGACCCAATTCAGGATTTATATACAGATTTAGAGAGAATAGTCTTACCCCGTATCTACTATCTACTAAGTTTTGTTCTGGTGTATTCAAAGTCATTCTGACTTTACATCTGCATGAACAGCAGCCATACTACTGGCCCACTGGTTTTCTTGATGTCCTTGGGAAAGAAGACTTTTTTAGATGCAAAACAGACAGCTATTTTCGTAAGACCTCCAAACAATCACAATTAAATAAATAAAGGTAGCATTTACTTACTTATTCCTTGAAAAAGTTCTTCAATGTTAACAGCATTCTTTGCACTGGTTTCAACAACAATTGCACCTATAGATTCTGCATATTCTTTGGCATCCTTCATAGGAACCTCCCTAAAAAAAAAATTACAAATAGAAGAAACAAAATTTTCAAAAAGTAATTTAATTTTGGAAAAAAAGGAAAAAAAAAAAAAAAAAAGGAAGACCTCAAACACAGCCTAATCAAGAAGGCATTAGTACGCTCTTCTTCCCTGCAAAAGTAATACTTTCTTCTTCTTATGGCATTCAGATCATCATATTCAAAATACCAAAACTTCACCGATGACTGATCTGCAGATTTCTTGAACTTGCTTCTGAATCCATGCCATGAAAAAAGGAAGATAATTTAACTGACAACCCCATTTGTTTGGTTTTTTAAACTTAACCCTGATAAGAGAAGCATTAAAACACTAGAGAAAAGACATACAACACTGCTGATCCAGCACCCAGCACTGTCCACACCAAGTGTTCAAACAAGATAGGGTATATCTGTTGTGGAAGAAAACGATAAGAGCATCGTATGTCTACGTGTTTGCAAGCAGCAAGAAAACAAAAGAGATTCTGAAGGAAATATGAAAGCCACTGACTTGGAGCATGCCGGCAAGAACAATCTGGAAGTGCCAGATTCACAGGGGAAGGCCGCCATTCTGTGCCATGTCACCAAAGTGACACCATCTTAAAATCACTGGTAGAACATCCTCGTTTTGCAGCCAATATTTCATATGCCAAAAGCTGGGTAAATGCAGGTTACAACATGCTGAAGACCTCTGCTTCAGACACAAAGCAAGCTCCACGCTGACCTTGGCAAAGCTGACTCTGCCCATGCCTGCTGCCATCTGTAACCACTGCTATTCCTGATTTTTGAGCAACAGCTCAGAATCAGAGACTGAGCAACAGCTCAGAATACACGCTAACAAGCACCCAAGGTACACCCAATCAGGGGAGCACATGTTGAAATACCAGGCTGCCAGCACTATTTTTCTTCCAGTTGTGCAATGCATCAACTGGTGCATTTTGTGTGGCTCTGTAGCCCTCTGCTGCGCATGCAGAATTTGCACCAACTCCTTCACCCCACAGCTCCGATGTACCAGTCCAGAGACTCCCAGTCCATTACTTGCTTCTTCATATTACACGTCTTTTTATTGCAGAAGATGCAGGGAAGGCAGCGTTCCCCTTACTACTTCTGAAGTGGCACCTTGGCCTTTATTACGAAAGGCACCACCATCTGCGGATGGCCCTAGAGATAAGAAAAAAGGAACTTAACTATGTAACATAATATTCAAACACCAGTAAAGGAAGAAATTTGAGAGCATAGTATTATTTAATGAAGGCTTTCAACTTGCTGTAATTTAGATGGGAAAGCAAACTTCAGGAATCAAGGAAAAGGTTAAAACAGCATCAAGTGACAATATCCCAAGGATGTGTCACGAAAATTCTTAGCCTCCTCTGATGACATTTCTACAGAAAGCCTATAAACGTCCACAGCACGTGGGCAATAAGCATCACACCATCCAGTGCTGTAGACACCAAGAAGGCTGCATACATCAGGTGGAGTTATAATCTGGATGTCAACACTGCCAAAATGCTACCTTGTCATAGAGTTCAAGCATTTGTGCTTTCTTCCTTTAAGCTGAGAGAGATGAATACACGCAAGATGGGGTGAAGAGGGAAGGTGGCAAGAACCACCAGTGGAGTGCTGACTAAGTGTTATCCCAGGGCTACAGGGAAAGTTAGAGGAATACCTATTCTGAAAGATGACAATTATTTCATTTTATCCTTTCCAAATCATTCTAGTGATTCAATCTCCTTCAAGACTTTCTAAATAATTACTGACTGAAGAAATATTCTGGATGCATAGGAGGAAGGAGGAAGATCTGAGCATGAAATTCTGCTGAATTCTCTTAACCAAGGCTCTGGCAATTTCCAGTGCACACAATGTATTAAGAAGGTGCACCATATTTGTAGGGAAGTAAACACTTCTTAGTTGCTGTTATGACTACTTACTTCTATAATGCTCAAAAAATATTTTGGACACTTACAACATTTCACCACTGAAGTCTCAGCTCCTGTCTTTGAAACTACTTTTTAATGACCTGTCAGAAGGACAGGACATGTATCAGAAGGAAAAGTCTACTACTATTACTTAAAAGTACACCAAACTCTCAACAGTACAAGAGTTGACAGTACTATAACAAAGATGATGATTTATACTAAACAAAATTGACTGTCTACCTGTAGAAATTCCTTCAAAGTGGAAAAGAAATTTACTTCAACAGAGTGCCAAAAACTGCCAATAGCTTATTAACAACACTGAGAAAAGCAGCATGGCCCCTGAGCATCCCAAATCCATCTTGGCAGCTCAGAACCAGATTTTAGATGCTAAGTGAGGAGGGTAGCATGGTCAATGATTGTAAGAAATAGTGCCAGTCTTTTCCCCGAGGAAAATAATCAGTCCTTATTGCTTCCATTCATTCCTTCTTACATCATCTCCTACAGTCACAGAGATGGTAGAATCAAATCAACTTGGACCTGGTCAGCTTGTTCTCTTTTGCTTCTATTCATGTTGGTCTTAAAAGCAGCTGTCTCTCCAATACCCAGAAAAACATCTGCCAGAAGTTCCTTCAAAATCAAAGATGCCAAAACAGCATACAAACAGCTTGCGCCTGTGTGCTCACATCACCTTATTTTTAAATTCTCTGTGCCCAAAGGCATATGTATTTTCTACTCATTCGAAACAATCTGATAAACTGAGGATATGTTTCACCTACAATCATTTTTACTGAAGTCAATCTGAAGACATAAAGCAGACAGAGAATACATACAGCTGCATGTATTGCATAAACAATCAGACTGCTGGAACAACTGTGAAAACGTATCACGTACTATACTGTCTGCTCTCTATTTGTCCACCAAAATCTCTTTAAATGGACATCATTGGATGACCTTAGAAAGAGAAAAGGCTGGGGGATGCAGAAAGAATAACAGCATTTAAAATTCTCAAAACTGTTCATAATTATGGAAAAAAGAAAGAAAAAAAAATAAGACTGAGAGACATTAGCTCACTGAGGACGATGAGCACCATGCAAAGGCCAGAACATTTTGTGCATGGAAGAGCTGTATTGGCTGAGCAGGAGCAAGAAACAGATGACCAGCAATCGGTAAACAACAGGTAGCGTTTGAGAAGAATGTGGTGGGAAGATCACGGTCACTCTGTGAGGAACCCCAGTATTCTTCCAACACTCCTGTGGCGCATGCTTTCCTTCATGTCCCCAGGTTAACCTGCCTCCAGTGGAACAGCATTTAAAAGCTTGCTGCCATGGCAAATGCTACCAAAAGCAGGGGGAGGGCTGGTTATGGATTCATTTGCTATCAGTGTCATTTGTCACAATCTCCAAACTTACTGTCCTTGATTCAAACAGGCAATTGCATTGCTGGTTACACTTAAGTTAAATTTAAGTGACTCCCAGGGCAACTGAAAACTCCAATTTGTGCTAACTGGTTTTGGGAGTTATTTTTTATAATTGTCCTTTCCTCTGTTTTTTTCTACCTCACATTCGGAAACAAGCACATCACAACATCAAATAGAAGATGCCAATGTACTATCTGTGTCCCCGACTCTTAGCCCAACAGAAACCAGGAGTCTTCTAGCATTAGGGCTTGTTCAGGTCTTAAAGAAAGCAGTGACTCAGTTTTCTGTTGGTTCATGGCTGACGGGGGCAGGGAACCAAAAAAAAAAAAAACAAAAAAAAACCACAGCCCCAAACCAAACCCAGCACAGTTTGGTTTAGGAAGCACTGCATCACATAAGTTACACATGTGCTTCAGGGCTTTGGTGAACCTGGGCCAAAGTGATGATTATAAAACAACCAGGGGATGTATCTGAACAACCATGAGAGCCTATGAGGTCCTAAGAGGAAAGCATCAAATACGGTCATTGAGTCTGTACTCATAGTTGAGGCAAGAAATAACAAAGGATTGCTACTGTACAGCAGAATATGCCTACGCTTCCAGAAAAGATCATCGTGACTCCAAAATAGAGCTAATGAGCAGAAGAGTGACTCTAGCTTCACTCTCATCCCAAATAGCATCATCTCAGCTCTTCTGCAGGAAGAACCCAGAAGGTTCTTTGCTTCACATAGGTGACAGAAGTTTTACTTGAGGTTATGCTCCTAAAACCAACAAAAATACACTTCCTACATCCAGCATCACGGGCCAGTTTCAGTTGTTGCAAAGCACAAAGTACACGTTCTCAAAGCTGCTCTGTGAATAACTTTACTCTATCTCAGGCCCACCCTTTGAGCTTTACATTGCTGGTTTTACTCATCGCTTAATACATTCTGCACTTTTTAACATGATTGGAAGGAAATGAAAAAAGAAAATACTTTTCCATTCCCAATGATTGAGCCACTGAAGGGTCTAGGTTGTACAAGTACACAGGAAGGGCAGTAAAAGAGAGGTTAAAAAAAAAAAGTACATAATTCAAGTTGTGCTGCTGCTTGGTGAGGTTGTACACTGGCAGGACCACTGGTGTTAGAAAAGGCTCAATACAGCTGACCAGAATGATATACTATTATAACAACAAAACAAACTTGTTACCTGAAGGAAGAAAACAATATAGTTACTGCCATCAAAGCAACAACAAAAATGGATGCATTACCTGATATCCGAAAGATCACATTTGTTTCCAGCGATGGCCATTACAATGTTTTCAGGACCATGTTCTTTTAGTTCTTTCACCCATTTCTTCAAAGTATGAAATGAATCCTAAGTCAGAGAAATAACAAATAAGCTAACAGCCTAGTCTCCAGTGATGTATTTGCTTTTTTTATCTGAGGTTAGAGGAACACAGATTTGACAGTATTATTGCAATAATAATTTTATAGGTCACAAGACTAGAAGATGATCACTGTGTCTATGTAATCTGCTTTGCAAATGTTAGGTCATAAGACTTCCTCAAATTAATTGTTGCTTGAACTTGGATACTTCCCCCTTTGCCTCCTCTCAAAGCAGCACTGAATGTTTTTCTTAAATTTTCCAGTGATGAAGAAATTACTACAGCTCTTAAGTTTGGCTGGTAGCTAATTTCCTTCACTTTCAATGTGAGCTTCATTTGCTTAACTTCAGCTCCAGCCTGGTGGCTTAGTATCTCAACCACTGTCATATTTCTGGTAACATCCAAGGGAGGCTGCAGTGATCCCCTCACCCCTGTATTTCTGAATCTGTGACCTGGTAAACCTCAGTTTACTCATTATGAAACCAAAGAGATAGGTGACAACTCACTTGGCTTCTCCCCCTCCCCAGGCACAAAATTACCTTTTAATAGTAAATTTTCTATTTCTTTACACTAATGAACTAATACCATTAAAATCACTTTTGTTCCTAGAGATTCTAATTATAATGCACGGTTGAAATTACTACTGAAACTCAACGTGAGCTCCCAAATATAAGTAATTTTTTCCCCTTCAGAAACACATATAAAAGTTGTGCCTAAATCAGCAACAGCTGTATCAGTATCACTGGAGGGAGAGCGCTATCAGTCATTTGGGAAAAGACATCAGTTCTGCTTTAATGGTCAACACTGAATATTGAGCATCAGAAAGTGAGATACGCATTGACCTTCCTCTCCTATTTGCCCCTCTTTATTCTGTGCGCTGTTTCACATAAGCTTGGAAAAAGACTGGCAACAGAAAATTCTTTTCTCATGATGCATTACAAGATAAACTGTAAGACTTTTAAGTCAAAAATAAGTATCAATCCAGCAGGATTCACTCTCCTTCATCTTTTCTTGGCAAATTAGCAAAGGAGAACAGTACCGCTGTGCAACAGTGGCCACCATCATCAGCCACAGATCATTACACTAATGCACTGGAGAATCAACCCAGCCCTCTCAACCTAGTAGTAAATAATTCAGTTGGCAGGAAAGGAATAAAATGCAAGTGAACAGTCATGGCCATCCATCCATTAACACCGCCTCTAACTCAGCTTTATCAGCACGTGTTTCTTTCAAAAGGAGCGGAAGAGGCATTCAGCTAGATCCTCCCAGCCGCCTCTGCCCGAGAAACGAGCAAGAGCTCTTTAGGATCCAAAAATACAGTTTTCATTCCAAACAAATGACGTTGAGACGAAAGTCAGAGACTTATGATTTCATTACTGGTTTCAAAGACTTGAGCACCGCAATGCAAACATAAGAGGATATGCTTAGTTAAAAATAATTATTTTTAAAATAAGTAACATGCAAACAACTGCATTTCTGTTCTGTTGATAAAGCAGCTAGCTCCTTTTCGTATTAAAAAAATCAGTCCATACAGAGAACATAAGTGGTGATGGGAGGGGGTACTGCAGGATATCATCCTGTCTGACTTAGCCAGAGGAAAGCCAAAGAAGCATCTACAAAACACTGTCTCCAACATTTTGTCTGGATGAAGTTTAAACAAAACAAAAGCTGGACTTTCTATTTAGGTTTTTAAGGCAGTTGGATGCCTCCATCCACAGTTACCCAAACTACCGAAGCATATAAACCCCACCGATGTGAACAGGAATTAACATATGAATACTTTGGCAGTTGTGGATTTTACTCTGTCCCAAGCAGAGGCATTAACACAGGTGAAAAGCACAGAGAAGATCTTACCTGTTTGGTGATATCATAAACTATCACGGCCGCTGCCGAACCTCGGTAGTACATTGGAGCCAAGGAATGAAACTGTTAAAACATAACCCCCCCCCAACAAAAAATATAATTAATAAATCAGAATTATCACACTTTGTCAGGTCACAAAGACTTGCCATGGCAGGAACACCAACTTTCTTTCATCCCATAGAGGGCAGACATCCTTGGTAGCTGCCCATCTATAATTTTCCTTAAATCCCAAGGAAGCAGAGCTCCCTCATCTGCCGCTGTGCTTCATCCTGCTGGATTTACACCATCAGCACTTACTGGTTCAATTCATCGTTTCCATTACAGGGCATGGACTCTGAGGACAAGTTTTGACATGAAGATCACCTGCGCTTGGAGGCCTAACCTGACAGTATATACATCCCTTCCCCTGGCAAACAGCAATGGTTTGCTTTGTAGTTGTAACAGACTGGATTAATTTTGGGTTCAATTTTTATAAAACAGTGCAAATCACCTGGATAAAATTAACTTGTCAGAAAACTCTGAACACCTCTCATGTTTAGTTATCCTATACTATGACAGATATTTTGAAAAACGCGGGTTCTTGCATTTTAAGTTACTCTTCAGCTTTTTGTTTCAAGGGAAACATCCTTTAAGAAAAAAAAAATCAAGCAATAAATATGTTTATTATAACAACAGCTTGCCAATGAACAGCATAATTTTCATAATTTACCATGGCTAAGCAGCTGATTTAGTATTTCAGCTTATAATTACACAGAGAAAGGAAGTCAAAAAGCCTTTCTGCTGATTCAACTGAACTTAAGTCTTAAGCAAACCAAAAATAATCTTTCTTGGAAAATACATTTAGTCTCACTGTACTAGCACAGCCATTTCACAAATTTTTATTTCCAAAGTCATCTGCAAAAGCTTCATATAAAAGCTGCAAGCTAATAACCGAGGTCAGCTCCTAAATCAAACGCATTGGTAGGGCGGGGTATGAATCTTGCTGCCCAGTGCATGTGCACGGATCCATGCGTTGCATTGCAAACCTCTGTAGATTTACTGGATGCATCTTCATCTCAGAACTGCACTTACAGACCGAGCGTCTAGACCTGGCAGCCTCCATATTTCGTGCCGTTTCACATGTGATGCATAAAGCAAGTTATTTGTAATACGGGCTCATGTGCCGGTTTGTAAGCTATTCCTCACCGATCGCACACTCCAGCTCAAGGTCACTACTTTCTCTTCGAACAGTACGGGTGCACAGCAGCAGTGACAGATGGTCAAGTGCTGAAGTGTTTTGGGGAGCGAGGCAGGTGGGAGAGCTCATTAATAGGAGAAAACAGCAGGAAGGAGGATGAGAAAAGAAAGACGAATCAGTCGAGAGGTAAGGTCTGAAGAAAAGGGATCAGCCAAGATCCTGAGAGAGTTGGGTAGACACACATCTCCCGGGCTTTTAGCGTTATTACTTGCACGTTTAATGCAATAAACACTTTCCAGAATTTTTAGGCTTCCAGATGATGACAGAAATTTCCAGTGTGTTGTGTTAAAGTACCCTGGAAATCAGAGACCTTAACTGTGGAGGGTAGATCAGACCTTTCATGGTGTATGCACACCCCTCCCAGTCTGTAAATTCCTGGGGGGGGGGAAAAAAAAAAAACCACAACCAACCAAACCCTGACATACACATGCTGATTTGGTTTTAATCTAGATTACCAGGTATTCATGAATATACAAAGAGCTCTCAGATAACAGTAATCACACTTCACAAGAGCCATGCAGTTAAACTCGCGTGCTTCAAATTCCTTCAATACTGGCCCAGAAAACACACTAAGAACCTGTAGGACATCTTGGGAATTCCTCTCCCTTTTCTTTTGACTGGGTACAAGAACACTTTCCATAGCAGCTGTTTCACTGAAGAATATTGCCAGTGTTGGGGCCAGAGCGTAAAAATAAAAAACAATAATTAAAAAAAAAAAAGCAAACAGAAAAGACCTCTCTCACTGGATGCTAGACAAGTAGATTTTAATGGAACCAGGATGCAAACTACCATTTTTGGGCAGGATTAGTTTTTAGTTGGATTCCCAAACCAGCTTGTGCATCAGCTATGCCCCAGGCTCAGCCAAAAGGAAGGGGTGGGAAAGCATGACTGAGAAAAAGGAGGCAGGACAGGACCACTAGAAGCCAGATTCACATCAGTTTATTCCACACTCAAATAACTCTGTACTTGCAGAACTACTCTGGGCACATCTCTTCTGGTACAGTCTACTGCTACTGCCACTGCCAGTTTTACTTTTTTTTCTTTCTCTACAATTAAAGCAATAATCCTTTTAAATCAGTGCAGGTAAAATGCAGAAACAAAGAAAACTTCTTTTGAGAAACATTTGGGGAGATAAATTAATCACTTCAACAGCATGTTGCATTTCTGTAACAAAAATGCCAAACTCTATCAAACTACGTTTGACTTGCTCCTTGTGTGGAGAAACATAAAAAGTGGAGACCACAGGCGCAGCATGTGGGAGGAATGCAATTCCTCTGCTACTTAAGGCAAAATAATCGACTTAAATATTCCAATTCCTCACAGGCTTGGAAAGAGGGAGGGCAAGATCACAGCAAGCAAGGCTCAGAAAGACAACTGCTTTTGAAAGGCACTCGGGTTCAGCGGTTGCTGTCAACACCTAAGTATGACCTCCCTACTCTACAGAAAATCTATTTACTTGCTCAGCTGACAGGACAGTTATTTCCCCTTTCATGATTCTATAGTAATATTTTAGTTATAAGGCACTGTAAAAGGAGAAAACATTTGGGCACATAGTTTCAGGATTTGGGGTTTTTTAATGTCAAGTGATGGATTTCATCTGGCACGTAAAGTTATATTCCTATTTGGATAAACTTGACACTCAAGATTTCATATTTTACATTGGACAAAGTGACCAAAATGGGATTACAGTGCATCTTAATGGAATTTCAAAAAAAAAAAAAAAGTACTTTGAAATTGTTTAGTAACGACTAAGAGTACACTAGTAACAACTATTATCAGTTATCACAGTCCAGAATATCAAATAAAACCAAAATTAAATCTCCTTTGTCATTCTACAGTCAGTCTACATTATACAGTCTAATAAACAAACATGATGATATGCTGCGGTCCCAGTCATATATAAGAAATCACTGTTGTCCACAAGAAAACAGGAAGATACTTTGCAACACTGAACAAATCAAGAGGGGTTGAAAAATCGTAACTCTGAGTATGTTTCATGATCTAATAATAGACTCAACAAATGTGTTTTATGAGCCCAGATTTTCCAATATCACAAACATACTAGTAAAATCATTATGCAAATAATTATGTTTATTTGATGCCCCCCCCCATTGTTTTTGGGGTTTTTTTTCTTTTTTTTTCTTTTAAATCAGTGCCCAAAAGTGAAGTCCTCTTGAACCTTTTTCTGGCCTAATTACCTGGAAAAAGAGAGTCATGCAAAAATAATTAAAGGGATCCAAAATACTAATGTGCATATTTTTCACCTGCCAAGGACCAAATGTGGGACAGACACCCAAAACAAGCGACACACAAAAAAGCAGCTCGCAAAATTAAATCTCACAGGACTGCCTTCTGCATTATGAATCACAATGCCTATAACCCTGGTTTTACAGCTCAGTACTTCTGTACCCAGTAACTCCCATGAAAATTAGGAGAAACAGGAGCAGTTGGAGACTTGGCACAAGAATCATAGAATCATAGAATGCTTTGGGCTGGAAGGGACCCCTAGAGATCATCTAGTCCAACCCCCCTGCAGTGAGCAGGGACACTGCTAACTGGATCAGGTTGCTCAGAGCCCCGTCCAACCTGGCCTTGAATGTTTCCAGGGATGGGGCCTCCACTACCTCTCTGGGCAACCTGTTCCAGTGTTTCACCACCCACAGAACAGGCCTGCTCCTCCAGAAGGGCCACCTGAAATGCTCAGGCAGCCGACCCTCCGGCTCTGCCACACGGACACCTGGGTCACAACCCCGGCTTGCCAGGGAGCCAGCCCCTCCATAAGCCACAGTGCTCTTGGCAGATGTCACCCCTGCCTGCAGTCAGCACCAGCTCACATCACCTCGGGCAATCAGGGAAACACGGGCCCAAACCAGTTGTCTTACCACCTCCGACCATCACAAGTAACAACACTCCTAACCCATTTCAAAAGCTGATCAAGGTCCAGCTTAAAGTCACCCATTTTTTTCCATGTGACTCCTACAAGGATCCTATTATTTTGATGATTAATGGTTAAACCACAACATTAATAAAGTTATTAATTCCTAATTTATTAAATTATTTGTAATCTACTTGCACCTTGAGTTACTAAAATTCAAGCACCAGTGCTTGCCTTTAGCTGAAATATGAATATAGAGCAGTCTTCCAGTCTTGACTTTGCCAGTCCACTAAACCTGGCTCTCCCAGTCTGAAGAGAAGGTGGCTGGGAGAAGGCAGGGTCTAATCGCCTTTCTCTGCACCTGGTCCAGCTTCAGTTCATCTTCCTTGGCTGCCAGTGACCAGGTTTGTATGCAGCACTCCAGACACAAAACAGTATTAACTGCACTTCCCCAAACATGTAGCACATTTCTCATGGCTGCATCATACAACACATGATCATCCTTTAACCAGGAAACACATTCACAGGTGGCTTTCCTTCTTTGTTTCCAAAAAATCACCTACAACTTCACAGCATGCATTTTTATTGGAAGCCAAAAGGTACAGGGACTTGCTACTTGTACTACTGAATTTCATCCCCACCATTTCCTTCTTTTGTCCTACCATTTTCCACCACGTCCTTCTAGGCACTCGGAATGCCTCCCATCTTTGTACAGAGTAAACCATCATTACCACCTCACCTACTTTGGAAAGTTAGAAGTCCTGAGTCTCTCATTAGGTGTCCACAAGAAGTTTGCCTATTTGCAAATAAGGACCAACTTCCACCGCTCATTAGCCTGTTCTGCTTTTGTAGGGGTTGATAACAACTTGTGAGTAACCCATGCAATGCAATAGCTAAGTTCTAGGGGCATATTTTCCAATTCAATAGCTATAGCCAGGCCAAAAGGGCCAT